CAGTGACAACTCAGCTCACCAGCCACCTACCATTAATATTTCAAACCAAAGACAATATTGTAGAAATGCACTTGAAAATGTCACTTTAAAAATGCAAGTGTTAAAACACATGCATTCATAAATTGGCCTTTATTATGAATTTGGTGAATGGGGGAAAAAATGGTCCTCTCCCATCTATCAATGTCATAGATGCTATCTGAAGGCGTTTCCTAAGAACTTAATACCACTCTACTAAACACAGTAAAAACTAAATATTTTTAACGTTTGCTTCTCAATATCCCTAGTTACCATGGGTTACTCTGAATTCTATTGTTCTAAGAAGATACACACTTGGATCCTTGTCCTTCTCAGTTCATATGGATGAACTCAACCAGACATTCTCATCTCTTCTGATTTTGTCAATCAGAAAACACACTGGAAGACGGCTATTGCTCCTCTTCTGTGCTCCCACGTTCCATGTTCTTACTCTTGCCTTTATTTTTTTTTTATATCATTGCTGCCTATTAATTAAACTGCTAGGCCACACAGTAGATTAATATATTTGTTTTTCAATAACTACAGCCAAAATCTAACATCAAAAGTTAAGTAAAATTTACAATTTAAACCTGCCTTGAAAAGACACAGGGGCTTGTGTAGTTGTTTGTGTTTTCTTTTTCTTTTTAAAAGTACTTTCAGGCAAAATTACTTGCTCCCAGTCTAACGAAAACAAATACTGGGACACCAAGGGTGTTGAAGGTCAGAATTAATATGCTTTTGCTAATTAGTCTATCTGGAGAAGTTTGCCTACTTGCACCTTCACCGTAACTGCTTATAATCAGCTATCTTTTAATGAAGTGATTAAATGTCCCAATTCACTAAAAATAATAAAAAACAATAATAATAAGTCATAAATATTCTCAAGTAAAAGATATAAAATATACACTTTTAAAGAATATTGATTTCAGGCGGCTGCATTTCGCTTTTCATGCCTTGGTAATTAATTGTATTTTGTATTCTAAAGCATTTCAGTTCAGCCATTTTTGGGAAGGTGAATAGTATGAAACAAAATGTGTGACAATCATTTACTGTCCTTGAACATCATTATTATGAAGAAACTGTACAGAGTTCTCATCTGCAAGATATTCAACATCAGTAATCACATTTCTCGTGAAGACAAATAAAAGGGAATTATATCCAGGTGCATATGTGTGCTCATCTCCCCAGTGGTTTGCTACAAAGATCTCCCCAAAGGCAGTTCCTGATTTCTGAGCAGGGTCACCAGTAAAGGCAGTTTAAAAGGCTGGTGTGATTGGCATCTGGATACTACAATAGTCAAACCTTCCCCCAAATGATCATGGACCTGTTTTCGCTAATAGGGAAAAAAAATAGTGACAAGGAGAGAGAGGGTCACCTTTGGAATGCCAATCTGAGCAATATTTTAGTTGCTGTTTTTACGGGGTTCCATCTGGATTACTAGCATTACTGGGAAAGAACTACACTGTTTGTGTAAATCAAGTAGATTTACTCTGCATTCCTAAAAAAAAAAAATGGCCATGATTTTTTTTTCTCCAAAAACACAATGATATCCCCTTCTACTTGCATAAAGGGAGGTAATGTTCTATTTGCTATTCCTGTTTTGGAGGAGAAAGTACTGTTAACCCCATATAACCAGGGGATTATGGGTGTTTATTTCATTGTCTAATTACAAGATCATGAAAGTATGTTTAATTTGCTGCTTCTTTATACTATCTGATATAACCCAAGAACTAAATATTCATTTTATATTGATGAAATCTGTCTATATCACTAAGTTTCTCAGATTAGTAGAGAAAAAGAATAAATTTATATTAATCTTAAATGGTAAAAGTAATTTTATATGAAAGAATCATAACCAAACAATTTATTTAAAAATCTAGGTATTCTTAAACTCATGGATGTCATGGTGACAACCTCTACTTTGAATTTTTGGGGATGCCTAAATATCCTATAGTCACAGAATTGGAGTTTTAAAGGTTAGAAGTATTGGTCATCCAACACAGTCCTCGATTTAGTAAATGAGCAAGATTAGACCCTCAGAAAAGTAGTTTGCCCGATGTCTCAACACTAAGAGATTAATTTAACTATTTTCAATAACAAAATTAAGTACCACATTTTAATATAGAATATTGCATATTACTCATATCCCAGATATAACATTTAGGAAAACATACCTTGTATGTATAACAACAAATAAATTAATAGAATGTTTACTTTATAAATTGTAGAAGACGCTTATTTAGAAAAGCTCCTGTCTCATAGTAGGCACTAAATGAATATTTGCTACATGATTAATAGCTAATAGCAAATGTTTAATGAGTACTAAATAATTTGTGTGTCAGGCACCATGCAAAGTTTATAAGGTGGCTATCTCCTTTAAGCCTCACCTATCTGCTAGACACCAATATTGTAAGTGGTATTGTTATGTCAATTTTAAAGAAAAGAACACAGAGGCACAAAAATTGTTATGTCTAATTATTAATACATTTAGCTGATAAATAATGGCACTTGGATTTGAAACTAACTTATCAGTTAATCTGCTCCCCAAATGCTCACTGTTAATCATACAGAAGTAGGAGAGTTAACACATGATCTTAAATTTATACTATGATGTAAATGACTAATAATACATTTTTCCTAGAGATTAGAACACGTGTGTCAGAAAAGAAAAAGAAGCAAAAGCAAGTCCAAAAAATGCATTATCTGGTTTATTATTCTGCCCAAAGGTAGATCTTGACAGAGTTCATTTACAATTCTAAGCTCAATAATTTATGTTATTAGGCAACATTTTAGGACATACATTCATATGCTTGAATCATTCTCATTATACTGTGTAAGGTAAAAATATTTAAAGCAAATATGGAAGAGGATACGTTATATAAGAGATTCCTTTCTCTACTGTAATAATGAGAGATTTTATATTGAGACTTTCAACATATTGCTCATGGCCATGGAATGTGTTATGAATGCATTCATAAATCCTGTCACTGATGGGTGAAATCTGACTTATTTTTTCATATATAAAATATGTATAATTAGGCCAGGCGCGGTGGCTGACGCCTGTAATCCTAGCACTCTGGGAGGCCAAAGCGGGTGGATCGCTCAAGGTCAGGAGTTTGAGACCAGCCTGAGCAAGAGCGAGACCCCGTCTCTACTAAAAAATAGAAAGAAATGATCTGGACAACTAAAAAAATATATATATAAAAAAATTAGCTTGGCATGGTGGCGCATGCCTGTAGTCCCAGCTACTTGGGAGGCTGAGGCAGAAGGATCGCTTGAATCCAGGGGTCTGAGGTTGTTGTGAGCTAGGCTGACGCCATGGCACTCTAGCCCGGGCAACAGAGCAAGACTCTGTCTCAAAAAAAAAAAAAAAAAAAATGTATAATTATATATATCACCATATATTCGTCTTGGAGTGTTAATTGCTATTTCAATTCATATTGCAGGAATCATCTCAGTTGAAGTTTGGGATTTTGAAATGAATAACTCAAAATAAAGGACATCTTAGTTTATCTAAAAGTTATTAACTTTTAAAATATAATTCATCATATTAGATGTTTCTAGGATTTTCTCATTAAATTTGTCTCAGAATATAAAAACTGCATAAAATATAAAAGAATGTGAGTTGAAAGAGCACTGTTTAACACATAGCACTTCAGCCCATTTAAAATAATTTCATTTAGATCTTAAATAACTATATTCTTCTAGTAACACTCTGGAACTAATTGCCATGAAAAAAAATTGATCCCCAAAGGGATACAAATAAATATACAAAATAATGCCAACACTACTTACTGTTTGTTACCTAAAAACTAACCGAAAGACAAATTCGAAAAGTTTAGCAGTGTTAAGTAAGGAATATTTGTGTGATAATTATTTTACTTCCTGTACCTATTTATTTTTTTATATACTTCCCATTCCATAATGTCCAAAGAACAGTCTAGAAAAGCTCCTTTCTGCTCCATGGCAAAGCCCTGGCCTTTGAATTAGAAGACTCCAATTCATGATTCAACCTTGAAATTCAATAGCGGTGGTACCTTGGGCAAGCCACTTACTGAAGCCTCATTTGCTCATGTACTATGAGGGTAAAAATACCTAATTTAGAGGGTTGCAGAAGGATTGAATGTGAGAATGTATCAGTAAGACACATGTAAGATGCTCATTATACAGTTATCTATTTAGAAAAGATGCACATTCAAGGAAAGCCACTGAGTTCATTTGGAAAACCTGTCCTAGCTCATTAATTGGGTAAATTTAGTTAAGCCATGATGTAACTCAATAAAATTATTCAGCCAAACCTGGCAATTAAGCCAAAAGATCAGACCAATAACTTGATGCAGACCTGATTATTTGAAAAGTTAAAGGGAGCCTTCAAAGTAAAGCCAAGCTACCAGTAAAAAGGCATCAGCAATGTCCCAGAACGTGCCTGAACAAAGAAGAACTTCTCATTCTCCAGGAATCACCAAAGCTCCAGGGAGCAGTTCAAGCCAAAATTGTGATCTCCCTGCCTTGTCCTTCAAGTGATGTGTACGCCAAGCACATTTTCTGTGCAGCTGGAGGCTTTGTTATAGACAGAAGGATCCTGCTTAGCGAGGCCAGTGTTTACAGCCTAACTTTTTTAAAGAGGAATTTGGAAAACTTCCCAGACACTGCATCTGCCCCTAGCCCTTGCACCTCAGAGTATAAGGCCAGCAAGGGAGATCGTGAGGATGACTAAATTTATTAACGGTGGATGGGCCACTCTATCTTTCACAGCAACAACAGTAGGTGATCCCATCAAAAATCTGTCTGCTGGCTAGCCTGCAAATCCAAGCTGACATCCTTGCAGCAGCTATACCCAGTTGAACGTAAACGGATGCTATTTCCTGGAAGAAATACATCACAAGCCAAATGTTGGACCAGGGAGGTAGTTTCAATTTCCACTTGAGAAAAAGGTTTTACTATTATCCATGTGTTCCTTTTCATATACCTATTTTATCTTTTCCTTTTTTTTTTTTTTTTTTGCCCTTTTAAGATTATGAAGCAGAGTTGAGAATTTTAGGGGAGAGGAGCTCAATAGTGTGACTTCTAATATTCAGTGATGATTTTGATGTGCTGGGAGAGTAGTAGTTAAGCATGCATTAATCTCAATATATCTCAGCTACAACATAATCATGATTCATTACAAACGTACATCAGCAGCCAGCCTCAACAAAAAGCAAACTATTTACTATTTTAGGTGAAAACAATAAAATTTTGTACGGCTCAAATTCCATTTCATTGTCCTCACATATGCAATATTTTAAAGACTATTTGCTCCAAAATGACTTTCTCATGGATTAAATGAATATCTTTATAAGTTTACAGAATAATATATATCTTATACGTTGTAATTGTTTTGAATTGGAAAAGTGAAGTATGTGTCATGAATAGCTATAGCTTTATACTGAAGTAGTGCTTCTAGGAATTCTAATTCGTGGAGTTCATGGAACTTCCAGAATATTGCGGCACTATAAGGCCAGGAATAGGGTAAGGCCAGTAAGGCAGGGATGTGCAATGCAGGGTCCAATTCTGTCTTTATTTAAAATTTTGGTATTTTTTGTGAATTTCTTGCAGTGATTTCCATTTGTAAAAATGTTGCATTAAAATATGTACATGACCACTGAGTTTTTTAGCACCTTCAAATTTTATGCCTTAGGCAAGAGCCTCACTTGCTTTACCATAGTCCTGGCCCAGAGAAGTTACTTCTTCCCTGAAATTAGTTTTTCCCATAATGTTCTCCACAGAACATTAGATATTAATAGCTGTTATACTAAAAAGAAAAAAACAGGAAAAAAAAATACCTGTTAGGCATGCTTATCTAAACAAAGGTAAATAGCTTTCTTATAATTCTTTTTAGGAGCTTTAATAACATGATGCACATTGAGACTCTCCAATAGCACGCAACATTCCTCAAACTCATTTGCCCACAGAACACAGTGAATAATATTTGGAGGAGTGGGTTCTGGCTACTGGTGTCTGAGAACCATCTCCAGCACATGCTTTGATCCAATAAGGCTGCCTCTCCGAGACCTTTTTTTTTTCCTTCTTTCTTTCACTTACCTCACTTTTTTTTTTCCAGAATACTAACAAGATAGACATGTTGACACAATCAGGCTATAGCTATAAAAGGGCTGAATTAGTATTCCTATAAATAGGTACAGTAAAAGTTCATTGTAAAGGGATATCAAAATGATAGAAAACACCTTGGGGCTTAGAGTCTCTTAAATAAAGCAGTGTCAAACACACTTACCAGTAAAGTCCGTATCGACTGGGTGAGTGGAGCTGGGAAATTTACAATACCCATTTCCTGTGAAACGAATTCCTTTCATCATTGTGGCCATCAGAGCTGGTAGAGATGACTCTCTCCTCTCGAGCTGATATATAGGAGAGGGTCCGTTTGGTTCTTCAGGTGGAAACCACCTAAGATGGATTGCTGTGCTGTTGACTGCTTTAACCAGAGGAGGCTTCAGTTGGGCTGGTGCTAAAGATTAGAAAACACTTGTTAACATCCCAGAATTTGGTTTCTATCCCTAGACACAGATATCCACACATACGTACACATGCACTTGTATATATCGCACTCAAAATCAAATCAGTTATGGTCACAAGTATCTATATGGTTCTAGGAACTGAAACACAACACAGAGTTTATCATAAATGTTACTGGACAAAATTTAAATGACTAGCAAATAGTTAACACAAAACGTTCACAATTTTTTTCTTAGAAATAATTTCTCTATTCTTTTTTGCTAAATGACAGATATTATATATTATAGTAGCTGCTGTTGGTGCCCCACCAAGAGTCCCTTTACCAAGCAGGTACCCCAAGGCCTCAGCTTCTGTGTGCGTTGGCCTCTGATGGCTCATGGCTGCCCCCTTCTTCGGAGAATTTCCCTTGGCTGAGTGAGAACTGCCCCACCCAGGAACTGCATCCCCCAATGAAACCTGCAGCCAATGACTAGTGCTGACTCCAAAGGGAAGAGCCCCTTGTCTTCAAATGGCATCGACTCAGTGCTGCAATTCACAGAGGCAGGTAATAGAAATGATTGCAAAGGGCTAGTTGGGGAGATAACAGGGCGTATGGGGTTGAAGAAGAACTGGGCAGGGGTGAATTGTCACTAATTCATGCCAACCAATGGGTAACACAGGAACAATGACAGAAAGCTGTCACACCTTTTAGTTTGTTGTTGTTTTTTAAGAAGTCAGAAAGCCATTTTAGAAAGATTTTATTTTTATTTTTTTTTAGAAAGGGGGTCTCACTATGTTACCCAGGCTGGAGTGCAGTGGCTATTCACAGGTATGATCGTAGTATGCTACAACCTCAAACTCCTGGGCTCAAGTGATCCTCCTGCCTCAACCTCCTGAGTAGCTGGGACTACAGGTACATGCCACCGTGCTCAGGAGACTTGATTTTTTTAGAGCAGTTTTAGGTTTACAACAAAATTGAGAGGAAGGTATAGAGTTTTGCCATACCTCCCATGCCCCCACCCATGCATACTCTCTCCCATTATCAACATCCAGCACCCTATTCATTCATTTGTGTCAACTGATGAACCTACGTTGACACATCATTATCATCCCAAATCTATAGTTTACATTGGGGCTCACTCATGGTGTTGTACATTCTCTAGGTTTGGATAAACATATAATGACATACATTCAACATTGTAGTATCACACAGAGAATTTTCGCTGCCCCAAACATCCTCTGTGCCCCACTTATTCATCCCTTCCTCCCCACAACCCCAAGGAACCACTGATCTTTTTACTGTATCCAAAGTTCTGTCTCTTCCGGAATGTCATATAGTTGGAATCATACAGTATGTATCCTCTTCAGATTGGCCTCCTTAACTGAATAGTAACTAAATAGCATGCTAAGTTTCCTCCATGACTCTTCAGCATTTGATAGCTCATTTCTCTTAGCACTGAGTAGTATTCCCTGACTGGATGCACCATAGTTTGTTTATCCATTCATCTACTGACGAATGTCTTGATTGCCTCCAAGTTTTCGCAATTATGAATAAAGCTGCTACAAACGTGTGTGTAGGTTTTTGTGTAGATGTTCCTTTGGGCAAATACCAAGAAGTATGATTGCTGGATTGTATGGTATGAGGATTTTTGGTTGTATAAGAAACTGTCAAACTGTATTCCAAAGTGGCTATGCTACTGGCATTTCCACTAGCAATGAAGGAGAATTCCTGTTACTCCACATCCTCACCAGCATTTGATGTTGTCAGCGTTCCAGATTTTGGCCGTTCTAATGTATGTTTAGTTACATTTCCCTCATGACATAGGATGTAGGTCATGTTTTCGTTTGCTTATTCATTTGCTTATAGGTCAGAAAGACATTTGTATATGTAATTTTTTTTTTTTGATTTTTAAAGCTTAGAAACTAATTTAAATTAAAACATACAAACAAGCAAAACCACTCTAAAAGCCAAACAGAGAATCAGCACAAAGGTCCAAGCCTGTGAGTTCAGCAGTTTACAAACAAATGATCCAGGCACTGAACTCCAGGCAGCCTCTTGGGCCCTGAAGTAGTAGAGAGCACCTTGGCCCTTAAGTGGCCATAGCACCAGCAGTGGCCTGTGGCTTGCAGTAGTATGTGCCCTGTGCCCTCCCATACACTGGGGCCTTTGTACGCTTTGAGGTCCTAGGATGTTGGCAGTTCTACAAAAATTAAGATTTTCCCTATAATCTGCTAGAAAAAAAGGATCAGAGTAACAACTTAATTATTGAAAATGAAGGTTTGTTTTGTTTTTTTTCTTAAACAATTGAGTTCGTGGGCTAAGATTCCTTCCCACTCTAAGTGTGCCAGCTGGATTTGGAGGTGAAAGTGAGGAAGGGAACAAACGTCATAATCACCAAGCCTATTTATTAAGGGTCAAAACTAAGGCTGTGGACTTCTAAATTACACCGGTGTTAACACATAGCCTTACATAAACACAAAGTCATCGCCTGTTTTAATCAACATAAATCAAAATGATGTGAGTACAAGAATTGAAGCCCTTAAACCAGGAAAGGAAATTCTCCCTAAAACATCTTAAAAGAATTACTATTTGTTACTTTTTAGACCTTGGCCAGCGTTCCAAAGAGAAACAATGAGTTGTGATTCTATTTTAACTTTTGGTAAAGAAAAGGCACTGAGCAAAAAGTTCATCATCTTATAAAGATAATTAACAATTCTGTTCATCTTCTGCCACTGCAACCCATGTGATACTTTTATTTTTATATATGTATGAATCGGTAAATTATATGCATGATTTCTCTTAGTATCCTTTGCCAAATATCAGCTAAATGGTGGGTTCTCAGAGATTTTGTTCTACAAGCTATGACCCCACTTCAAAATAATCCAAGACAAAATAAAAGGCTAAGCCATCCAGAAATTTCTGCTACCACTGAGACTCTCTTCAGAGTTCCATGATTGTATTAAAATTGCAGCATGCCACTGTTGGCCTTGATCTTCACCAGGAAAGGAGAGCTGCCGAAGATTTTTCAGTCCTGGGCTCAGGGAAGCTATGGAAAACCAATTACATCATTTTTTATTGTCTGAAATTTGCTTCTTAGAAGCACAAGGAAAGGAATTTTGACTCCTTCTGTTATATTTTCTCTATTCCACTTAAGATCCCCTAGTGTTCTGGGACCCAGAGACCTGAACATTTTAGTTTCAAAAATATGCGTACCCTATAGCTTAGTAAAGTCCAATAGAACTTTCTCCAAGGAAGGAAATGCTCTAGGTATGTAATGTCCAATAGAACTTTCTCCATTGAAGCAAATGCTCTAGCCATTAGCCACGTATGATTACTGATCACTTAAAATGTGGCTAGAGAGGCTGAGGAGGGGTTTTAAATTTTACTTAATTTTAACTAATTATATTTTAAATAGCAACAACCATGTATGACTCATGACTGCCATATTGGACAGGATAGGTCTAGATAAATAGAGAATCATAAATTACACATATTTGGTGTGTTGAGAATAGGATTTCCATTTTAACTAAATGTTTAGAGGATATATGAATAGGCCTCCTATACTTCTTAATAACTGAAGCATTTCACTGTTGTTTAAAAGCAGCCTCTTAAGGTCCCATTTGTTTGGCATTTGATACATCTCTACTTTACTCCAACCACCCAACTGAATAGAGATAATGATGAAGTTTTGCACTACAACAGAATTCTGAATCCTTTCCCTTTTGATAACGTGATCCAAAATCACTTCTTAATCAGGAACATTAATTAAGAGTCAAAGTCAAACAAAACAAAGCAAAAGGAATTCCAACAACTCTGGACAACTCCTAAAAGTGAGAGGACAATTTTTTTTTTTTAATTTGGCAAAGTGATTATAATCAATAAGGAAACTGTTACATTGAGAGCCCACTAAAATTAATACTTACTGTTTAAACTCTAACAAATAGTAGAGCACTTCTTGATTCATAGAGGAATTTATTCTATCAAGCAATTAGACTATTATTAGGAAGTCAACTCCTGAGAATGAATAGAACTAGTGCGTCTTTTTTTTATTTGGGGGCTTTAAAAATACCTTCCAGCAGGTGTGTTGTACAGTTTAAAATAGAGGAGTCAACCAAGCCAGTTTGAAAGGGTGAACACCCTACTGAGTCAATCTTTTCAGAGTTCCTCTAAGACCAGATTCGTTTGTATTCAAAATCTATCGGTATTTATTTAGAAAATCCTCTTGTAAGTATAAAGTATAAAATGGATCTTTAACATCCATCATTTCAAAGAATAACATACAATATCTGTTTTCACTTGGAAGAAAATTACAATGTTCTTGTATTTTTTCAATAGCACTGTAATCCAATTACTAGTCCCTCTCTTGTATTTGTAAGTATTCTTCTATAAATGCTTGAATACTGTACACTCTTCTTTATGCAGCATTTATTACTTTATAATATAATTAATAGTATATCACAATGAATAAATTTACATTTGCAAAATTTATGTACTGTGGAGTTGCGAGCATCCTAAGAACTGAAAACTGAGCAGAAGCTCTCACTGATGCATGGAGCTTTAAAATAGAATCTCTTAGTTTGTTTTCAAGGAAGAATTTGTTGTCTATGAAGACTGTATGGCTGTGTCAATATCTTAAAACATCAACTTTCTACTATAAAGACAGGAATCTAAGAATAAACAGCTTTCTCATGTTTCATGGGTATGTGGAGAGCAGACTACATAAGACATCCTTAGGCACCTTGTCAATAGAAAATGCTTTTGACTTTTTCACGAAGATGCAAAACTATGCCAGTAAATACAATTTTCCAAACACTGCTAGGCCCAAACACTTGCAAAAAGGCACTAAGACTAGGACACAAACAAGAATTCCAGGTTATGAAGCCGCGATTTCCCAGCTGCACCTGCCCTGCTATAACTGCTCACCAGCCAGTGTCCAGAAGAGAAAAGGATTCTCCCCAGAAACTATCATGGATGACTCAGTGTTACCTTGTTGGCTCTGACTAGGGATAAAG